AGAGGAAAGAAAAAGGCACCCTGTTAGTTCGTATTATTCCAATTTAGGTCCCCCAGAAACTAATGGACAGCATCTCGAAATGTTAGCCGTCAGCAGCACCGTTGGACGCGGACACCAAATACCCTTGCCACCGGTGGGCCGATCGAATGACCAGGAAATTCTGGGAGGCCTCGATGAAGGCTGGAACCCTTCGCCTTTGCTTCCCACAATCCCTCACCTCGACCTGGATGAAGAAGCATTTTTCGGATGGGATAGTTTGAATCTACCTCTTTGGGACAATTTCCCATTCTTGACAGAGCCTTTTATTCCTACTGAGGAGTAAAACGGCGATTATGCTCGCGATTAATTCTCGGCTTTGACCGCTAACGGGGTTATGTGTCCTCTGAATCGGGTGACTGTACGAATTCATACGGTTTTTATTCAAAATATATGGCATGTGAACTCCCTGGCCTTGGAAGAGTATGTGACAAACGGGTGGACTGTGAAAACAACTACATTCAGTTTATCTTTGCCGATCCAAAACGCACGATCCTAAGATCCGATGTGACAGGAACCCAATGTGTTTATATGCCGAAACCTGGCAGAGCTATAGAGTCCGGATACCGAACAAACCGTGTGGCTTATCGGCTTAAAGAGTCAGCCGAGCGCGGCATCCGTGTATTTGGATTAATCATGCCTTACAAGGGCTAGTTAATGAGGGGTTTAAGATCGGCTGAGCGCTGCATATCAACAACTCGTTGACACTCGACCATTAGCAAGAAGTGGCTGATGTGAATTTCTCCAATTTATTCATATATACAAAGTAAAAAAAAAAAATCTGACTGATCATTATAGGTTATTTTTGGGGGCCCTATGTTGAGCGAATACGTCTTCAACATCCTTATGCATATCATAGCTGGGCTTTGGTTAGCATGCAACCCTTTTATATACGATCTTTCAGGAAAACTGACCTATTCATCTCTTCAATGGTGAGCTTATTTCTCTCATCCTTAACTTTATATAGTGGGTTGTTTGTGTTGTCGGAGAATCCTAATCATGGTTAGAAGACATTGCCGTACTCAGAAGAGCTAACGTTTTCAGCACTTACCAATACGCTCATGGATATTCTCTCTCGCTCTGGCGGATGCTGCCTGTACCTTTGTCGCTCTTGGTTTGCGAACTTTCTCATAAATTTCCAGAGCCTCGCGAACATCCCCGGTGAAATGCTTTTGGCTGAATACCAGACCTAGACAAGCGGCATCTTCGATTGCCATGCAAGCACCTTGGCTTTGATCCGGCATCATCTACGAAACAGTTAGCTATGGGTCTGATTCAAATCGATAGCAAAGCGGCCTCACCGGATGCGCAGCATCACCCATGACACAAGCCACGCCTTTCTGCCACCACTCATATGGCTCATGCACCCACAACCGCCACGGCCTTATCTCTTTTCCAATCTTCAAATGTCCTAGAACCTGAGAGTCCAAATCCGGGTAAGGAGCAAGAAGCTCTTCCACTGTTGCTTCACTGTTCCAGTTGTGAGTGGCATAGTCGCCTTTCTCTCGGGGAAAAAAGCAGTAATATGATAGGAGGCTGCCGCCGTTGCATGGAGAGAGGACGATCTTATTCACATTATGATGTCCGCCCCAATACTCAATCGCGCTGTTTTTGGAGTAATCGACGAGGCCAAGCTTTACTGCGGTTGCAGTGTCCACATTGGCATGGAGACAGCTTGACGAAGCAGGTTTCTTTTCTGGACGAATACCAATGAGGGTGCGGACGGCAGATCCAATTCCGTCAGCGCCCACCACAACTTCATGTTGAGCTGTGACTCCATTTTCGAAAGTTATTCGGCCTGAGTCGACATCTAGGTCCTTACACTAAATTGACGAATCGCTGTCAACTAGACTGTCAGGCTATCTCAGGAATAGAAACCAACAACGAACCTTGTGATTAACGATAAGTTTCACCGGTACACCTTTTCCCTCTCCGACTGCAGTGTCCATCAACATCGCATGCATATATTGTCGGTGGAACATGTTGTAAACCTAGATGTGGGTAATAAGTTAGTTATTCACTTTTGTCTCTGTCTGGTACGCTTACATGACCCCATTTCTCCTCATAATCTCCCAGATCATAGACACTAACGGGCTCGCCAGTCTTCCAGTCCCGATTGATCAATTTTCGTAAAATCACCGGATCACCCTTTGCAACATCAACTTCCCATTCATGCAACCATCGCGTACCATTTGCAGCGCAAGAAATCGAAGCTCCGACTTCGCCGGCAAAATCCGCCCGCTCGTAGATAGTAACCTTGTGGCCAGCCCGTCTTAGCGATATAGCAGCTGCCAAACCGCCTATGCCGCCACCAACGATCGCAATATCGAGTGGTCTCCAACCGGACTGTGAAGGCATTTTGACTGATTGCTATTGCAAGAGTGTATGAAGAGGCTTTTTGATTCCAATTATGCTGGGATCCCGGCTTCTCGTTGAGCTCTTTATCTACTTCGATGTTTCCGCTTTGTGATGACGAGGTGCGCGGGCCGCGCACTGGCTAATGGCGGATGCGTTCCTCATCATCCGCTTCCGACGCACGGAGCTTCCGGCCTTTGGAGTTATTGGATTTTTATTCGTTGTCCTAATTTTGATTGAATATCTGACCAATTGAAACAGATTTGCATTCTCATGAACGGCTTCCACAGTGCTGTGGTGAGGTTGCACGTCTTGTGCTGGTGGTCATGGACTTGGCCACCGGTTTGGATCTTTGGGGTTTGCGGGGAAGAACATGCGGGGTAAAGCCAATTGCGGGGTAATTACATAAGCCCTTATTCGCCTCGCTGAGTGGCCTGTGAATCAATTGACAGAGGAATACCTCTGTTGCAGGGGCAGAATTGAATCAGTAGTTATCAGGATAGGTTCGGGACACGGCAACTAGGCTAATAATGGAATATATGCAGCTTGGTGAAAGCCAACGAGCTATCTCACATCGAAAGCAAAAAGGGCTAGCTTGAAAGATAAGGAATGAAGACACCTCTATGTCAAGGAATCGCTGAGTTCGGCGACAGGGTGATTTGCACGTCGCTCGATTCGACTGGAGGAAGGCAGAATCGCGACCGAAGCGTGACTATCGGAAACGCCCGCCCAAATCGGTGGAAATCCCAGAAGCCTGGGACGGCATGAAAATCAAAGAGTTGACCAATAATAAGGCGCCGATTTTTCATCGCCTGATTTCGCAAAGACACTGTGGAGAGCCGACTAACAGCCCTGCGTCAGTCCTTCTGGCTAAAATATGGGGAACGGAGGGTGGTGACTGGTGTTCCCTGAAGCCGGAAAAAAAAGGATGGAATGCCGGTCGAACCGTGAGAAGGGATTACCACCGATTGACTTTAGGCAAGGAGAAGGGGGAGTGCGAGGAGCTGATGGATTCGTAATCCGACAAAGCTCATTTGATTAGTCGGAAAACGCTCCGAGGGACAGATTCGATATCTTTGAAGGCGTCTCACAATGATAACAGAGTCAAGGCAGCAAAAACTGGAAAGGGTACTAAGTAAGGCTTTCGTCGATTGCTTGAAGGATGACTCAAGGACGGAGTACTGTTAGGCAAAGAGATTGTCCCCAAAAAATACTCCTGACCAAGCTCAGAGATGTGTGCGTGACCAGGAGCAAGGATGTCTGGTTTCTTGTCCCGAAATCGCCCGTGTGATGAGCGATTTTATCAAGAATGGTTGACACAACTGCTATTCCTCAACACAGTGTCTGATCTCAGAGTGCTGGAATTTGACAACAATGTGTGGGTCATTGGGATATATCCGCTCCCAGAAGATCATTGGAATCAGAGCACGGGGTGGGCGGCGACAAGAGGAGGGACATGTTCCGGAGCCAATAATCCAGAGTATGCGGAGTATGGTCTTTCGATTGAGGCCGCGGAAAAAGCAACACTCATCATAGGCATCTTTGGGGACAAGGCATCTTAGGCCCAGATTGGCTAGGTTGCCGAAACGAGCCAAGAGTGAGGATGCAAGGTCCGACAGTGGTTTGGATCGAAACAGCCAGATTCAAGAGCCAACTCGGATGAATAGCCACAATAGAAGCCTCGTCGTGCCCAAATCCGCCAGAACATTTTGCCGCAAGCGACCGTTGGGCGTTTTCTAAAGCACCAGCAGAGGCGTCTGGCGTTCTTGATGCGAAGACACAGCCATCGCCAGGCAGTCTGGGCGGAAATCCCGTGGGCTTGCGCCAAGGAAACAAGCCCCCAAAAGTCGCGGGCTAAGCTTCAGGAAAAGTGGGCTGTCGCGAACCTTCCCACAACGCGCTTCGAAACGGTCGCGCCTGCTAGGAAAACAAACCTTTGTGGCTTGACAGGCCACGGCTAAGCCTTAAACGCCTCAACTCTGGCCCTTTGGGTCGCCATTTAACTTATCAGGCGAAGAAATAGATCAACCACAAGAGATGATGCCCGGTCCCAATCTGGGCAAGGTGCAAGAAGCCATCTGGTCTCAAGGCGCCGTCAATGCCAAGGGTCCCCCATGCCATTTTTAGCGTGAGTTCATCGAATTGGGTTGCCGCGCCCGCAACCAGATTTCGAACGAAACTTCTTTCCCCAGAGCCTGAACACACATGGCCTCGAAGCAGCTTTGGAGCAGCATATTTTGAACCTGAGAACCTTATCTCATACAGAGTAAGTACCATTATTCCAGCGCGAATTGGCTCGTGTCAACCAACTTTCCGACTCACTTAGTTAGTCACCTCGGGGCCAAAGATAAAAATTGGCTTTTGCTCGCAGGTTCATGTGGGGTGTGAACCCGTCTCCATCTGCGCGCACCGCCAATTATAGTCGCAAAAGAGGATTTGGCGAGAGATCGCTGGCTGGTGATATCATTTGACGGTGGGCAACAGTCTTCCATACGATCTCGCTCCCGGCCAACGTGCAATCGAGTTCTGTTACGAGACAAGGCAGGTCACTGCACAGCTGAGAAATGCTTCCAATGACTCAATCAATGAATCATGGCCCGCTCCCAATCGATCGCGATTCCTGCAGCCAGAACAGTCAGCGCATGCAGGGGCCCCGTTGGCTCAGAGCACAAACTCTAATCGACCAACTGCATGTTACGATGTGTAGTTAGAGATGCCGTTGCGGGGTGTATGTCTGTATGTACCTTGCAATCCGCAAGGCAACTTCATAAACAGTGGGAGCAGAGAGCTGTCTAGGCAGCGCTTCGCTTGGTCCGAGACAGCCATCGCCCTGACGAAAGCCAAGGACCTTAGGCAGCGAACTCAATTTCAAAAAAAGTTCCTTGCGGGCTTGAGTCCCCGTTTCTGTTGCCAGTCTTCAGTGGAGCGATTGGGAGGTCCCTTATCACGAGGCGCCTGCGGACTCGGCTGATTATGTAATGAGGCTCGTGCGGACCGTGTTTGGGGAAGCGGGGCCGCCAAATGGGGATTAGCGGTGTGGAGACCAAGGCAGTCTTGAGGAGGCTGAAAAATGCCTAATTTTAACATCGGTTCGTTTTGTGACATGCGATTCTTATTATTGTTCACTATTATTAGCTAATTGCTATCTATTCACAGACAGAGAATCCAAGAAGGTTCAGGCTGATCAGTCGTGAGAAAATTATAATTCCATTCCAATCGTGGCAAGATTATTATCGCTTCAAATGCCAAATGTCTAAAACCAAAAAGGGAAGAATACAAGCCCGTGGCAGAAGAGAACCAGTCTCTGGGAAGGTACCACGGCCCCAAAAAGCTCCAACAACCAACTCCGTCGCTATGTCGATCAGCCGAAAGAATCGTCGGGACTTCTATAACACCCTCGTAAATCATGCATCATATCCAATCCGACCTTACATCGCTGAAACGCTCGTCAAAAGAAAAAAACTGAAGCGCGGAATCCGTCGAAACCATAGACTAGATGGATGAAAACTCCAAAATTGGATGCGCAAACGAGTATTGACAGGGACTGAAAGCAAGAAATGAATATCAGCAAAAGTTTTCCAAATTCCACAGAGACTGTGGTTCCCGTACCTTCAAACTGGTCCCCGTTGAATCTATTTCACATAGTGGCATTCATAGCAAGCGTCATGGTTGCAAACAATGCAACGGGATTCGAGTTGAAAAACTTTGGGCCCGTCTCCACAGCCGCAGCATATATATAAGTGTGTTGCTCTCGTTCGAACATGTAGCCGGCGACTGGTGCTCTGATTGGCTGGCAATGGCATTTGCGCTGCCATAACGTCAACTTCTGGCTGGCAGACAGTGAAGGATGCCATTTCTGCGGCGTGGTCGACAGTTCTTTGCGTTTTTAAACACTCGTGCCGGCAGCAAGGCGATTTTGCGCCGCGGTGCTGGCAATTGATGCAGGCAGGGTAAGTATCGATGCTCATGGGGCCGAATCTGCAGCGGCAGCAGAACCAATGTGTGGCGTACGGCATAAGGTCGGATTTCGTGGAGGAATTAAAGGTGGAACAGAGTCGGAAACTGGCAATTAAACAGGCAAAACCCTAGCTCTCGAATGCGAATGCACTTGGTTTTTCAGTAGGAGTAATCTCAGACGGGACTTGGGATTGAGGAATTGGAAGATCCAAACCTGAGACTCCCCCAGGTTTAAATAGAAAATACCAGACATGAGTGCCTGGCGAAAAGGCGGATATTGACCGTTCAGCATTGTAAGCATCGCCTCGAGCCGGGTCAGCTGCTAGAGGACCCTCAAAGCGTGAACGGGCAGAAAGGCGCTAAGGTGCCTAGGTCCTGTCATCAGAAGCCTTTGTCATCGCCCAGCTTGGCATTTCCTCGTCCATCAATGGCCTGAAAACGAATAATAAGCATTACCCCGGCGTCGATCGTGCAGAAAGTTAGTTTCCGGAGCCTGGCATGTCAGGTTTGAGTCAACGCTTCGAGTGGGCCCCCACCGTGTAGTCATCGCCTGCAAATTCGAAGCGGGGCGCTAGGCATTCTGGCGGCCTCACTCCTTGGCTATACCGGTGAACTCACAAGTCCTCAAGGCTGCCAAACTCGTTCCTCTGAAAAAGCGCCCCGCTCGAATTCCGCTGCCTTCTAGGCTCCCCAAAGGGTGGGAGCCGGCCGGGTCATGTGACCTGCGACTAAAAGTTCCCTTCCTTTAGGTACTTGACGAAAACCCGATCTCCAGGCAGCAAAAACACCAATTTGCACCTCGGGTCATTCATTGCAGTCCCAAATGTCTCAATGTTTGACATCATTCAGACAGAATATCGAATTTGGTGATTCTACCAAAATGTCATTGCTGATCAGCCAGGCCCCCATATTCTGAGTCCCATAATTTTTAAAATAGCTGGGAGAAGAATCAACCAACTGTATGGTGTTAAAAATGCATTATGGTTCAAAGTCCATACTTTCATGATGACCCGAGCACGTATTGAAAATGATGGTTACGAAATTTGAAAGCAAAAAATGCCTAGGCTCTAGGCAAAATATTGTACAGACAAAAAGTTCAAGAGGTATCTCATAACTGAAAGCAATCAAAGCGCAGTCCGCGGTTCGATTGAGAAACAAACGAAGTATCAAAGCCAATGATCAACAAGCCAGCGAAATGGGTGTAAAATTACTGCGAAGGTGACTGCTCCTGTACCGAGACAATGTGCTCAATACAATTCGGACATTTTGGTGTGTTGCAACCCAAACATTGGCAGTGGAGCGACGAGTACGGCCCAGATACCGAACAGTTCTGGCAACAGAACCAAATAGAGGTGAATCGCTTTCGCGGAGAGGAATAGTTCTTTCGAGGAGGTCGCTTAGTACATGTACTCTTACGTTCCGCAGGATACTTTTGGCTAAATGACTCGTTTTTGGTTTGAGTGTCTATGTCGGACTGAAGTTTCATATGACGTGAACATTCTTCGAATTGCTGCAGCTGTTGTGCGTAGAATGCTTCTTGATAAGCACGATCCTTTGGAGAAGCGTACTGCAGCATCGTATGTTCACTCGGCCGTCGCCCGTGTCGGTCAGGTGGGTAAAATAAGTAGACTGGCGACCTGGAACGCGTCAAGCCGGTAATAGGTCGAGTGTTTTCGGACCGCTGATCTGGCCACGGCCGATCATGCTATTGCCGTCAGCTATCGAAATATCCAGGCCTAAAAACTTCATAACTCACATGCGCCATCTTTGGATAAAAATTCGCAAGAAAACAGAGAAGAGCAGTGAAAAAAAAAAAAAAAAAAAAAAAAAAAAACAAGAGGAATGAAATTCCACTGAAGGTGATATTGAGCTGGACGGGATGCTCAAACGAAACAAAAGGGGGTCGAATCGCATAGACATGCAAGTTGAACAAGAATTTGAGTGTTTCAATAGCATAGCCAGCATTTAGATATACGAAAATCACGTATTTTGAACAAAAGAAGGGATTTAAATCATACCTCCTTCATTGAAAGGTGCTTACTCAAGTCCAAAATGAAATTATTGGAGCCCAGCCGCAGTTGCGAGCTGGATGCCTTGATTGCTTCCCGAAGCCAAAGCAAATAGGATAGCCATTTCGGCTTGAGATATCAAATAATCACGCGGCGATGACTAGAAAGTCAAACGGGGGTGTTCGGTAGGCGCATTTTGATGAACCTTTTGTCAGCGGTACAGGTAGTGGCAGCCTTCTTTTCCCAGATGCCTTACCTCTTTCGGCTCAACTAAGGATGCCGGGGGGTGAGAAAACCAGGCAGGTCGCATAGCCACAATATGAAGCCTGCCCTCGCACTTAGCCACAAGAGCAAAGCAGCGTATAGTATAAACCCGTCGGTCAATGCTTAAAACGTCCCAGAAAGCAGTAAAGTCGCTAACAAACGAGTCATTAGGTCGATGATAAAGATGGGAAATCCGACGATCCAAGCCAGGCGTAAAATCCGGTTGACAGAAACTTCCAGGAATAACCACGGTCCATCAGGGCTGAGTTCAGTTTTGTGAAGGGAGAATAGTCGGGCAGCATCAGGGCGAGTCAGTAAGTAGGGCTTCGGTTGTCTTATTATGTTCTCTCAGAATCTGGAAGCCGCAAGGCATCAACACGAGAACAGGCTGAAAAGTGCGACGGAGTTGTAAAGAGGTGTTCAAATCCGTGGCCCCGACATCTGTTTATACATACTCTCCTTCAACAGAGCATGGCAGCCTTTCAGGGAATAGAAGAGGGGTTGGGGCTCATTGCTACCCCGCAGGCCGATACGAGGGTGACAGGCGGCACCACCCTCGCTTGAGAAGTGCTGTTAAGACGCAGGGAATCTCAGTCTCCAACGAATTCGGCAGTCCGCCAATCGTAGAGATGTCTTTAGACTGAATCTGGTTGTCGCTCTAAAACTGTGAGCTCAAAGATGGGAGCTGCAAAGTCGCCGCGTTGCCGCTCTTGAAGGGCAACCTGCGAGAGAACATGGATGGATATTGGATGTTGCTCGTTCAGATCCAAATGCAGCAACATACCGCCAAGCGTCACTATCCCAATACGGCTAGGAATGTGGTCTGTGCGGATGATGTCACTCGATTGCTTATTCATCAGGGATTATAGGAGTTCCACTAAGCCTAAACGGGTCATCGTTGGCTGAGACGGGAAGTCTGGAGAACCTCAAACATGGCCAGAGAATTCCGTGCAAACGGCTTGATACAGCATGATGATTCCTTACTATTATTCAATGTTATGATGTATCCGTAGTCCCAAAGATACTGATGGACTGCTGTGGCGAATGGCCTCAGATAAGAGAGTGAACCTCGTCGTATCACGAGTGATCCCGGTAGTCCTCGGTGGTTTGCTTGCGTATGGGAGCTATGTGTTTACAAGACCGTTATGCAGTGAGTTTTGATTCCGGCAAGCCGATCCAAGCCAAATCAAAGAATAAGTATTGATCATGACGCAGTCGATTATTTTATACGACCTCCACCGCATTATGGAGCGCCACCCCCTCGAAGAGGTCTCGCGATAGGGTTGCTGACCGTCTTTTACCTCCTACTGCTGATGGTGGCCATTTCTTACCTTCGAGTTCTCACTACAATTCTATGGAATCCCGGGTTTCTGCCCCGTGGTAATCAATGGGCCGAATCAAACGCCAGTAAATCTGAAGGGGGGATAACACGGAAACGCCCATGGAATTTCGCGAACAGCTCGCGTTCAAAACAGGAGAGAACCGAAAAGGGGCCGTATCCCATTGACGCCTACGGTCTCGAAGCGTTCTACTGCAAAGATGCGTTCGTATGTCAGCAGGATGGAAGGCCCCCGTGGTGCTCAACCTGTTGTCAGTGGAAAACGGATAGAGCACATCACTGCAGTGAAGTTGATCGGTGCACAAGGAAGCTCGACCACTTCTGTCCTTGGTATGATAGGCGATCCTTCTGCAGCAGAGATTCATACTAACATGGATACAGGGTTGGTGGTGTCATTAGCGAAATTTCGTTCAAGTTCTTCATACAGTTCTTATTTTACACGTTTCTGTTTACAACCTTTAATGTTGTAGTGCTATCTATATTTGTTGCTGAGCATCGGAAAAATGTTCGTGATCCCCCTGCGCTCCAAAAATTTTCTTTACGATCACGGCTGACCGAAAAACAATACAGTCTGGATACCTCGAAGTGCAGTGGCTAGTGGCATTGGCATTGTAAGGGACGCTTGCTCCGACTGTTCTAATCATGGAGTTCTAACTATTGCTCTTAGATGCGGTCTATTTTTCTTCTTTTCTCTAGGAATGCTAGCCAGTTCTCTCCACCTCGCATGGCTCAATATTTCGACTATCGAGAGCCTCACCCGTCACACCAAAGTCTGGACACTAGCAATCTTGATTCCCCGCCCAAAAGATTTCCATGAGTCGCAAGCAAATCGAGATAACCCAATTCCTGTCGTCATATACCCAAGCACGGTTATGCCATCGTCGTCGTCCAGTTCATCCGGGACCGCTCCTCCCCGTGAATTTGCGATTCTCTCCACAGAGCCAGGGGAAAACCCTTTTGACATAGGTACCCCCCTGGAAAACCTGAAAGAAATCATGGGCTACAGCCTATTCGATTGGCTACTGCCAATCAAGCCCAGCCCCTGTGCAGACCATAGCAGACAAGAGAGCGCGTATCGGTTTGGCCCCGTCGTGCAGCGGCTGAAAAGAAAAGCCGGCTTGGAGAGTTTTTGAGACAGACGTGCTCAAGTTTCTACGCGCTTTTCCCGTCAAAGTCGGTTATACGATGTATAAAGTTGCTCGTGCGATACCCTCAAGTGTTCCTCAACTCTTGTCAACGAAATTCTCGTTTCGGTATTTTGTTTATAGCGGACTGCTTATTTTCGGGTTACTTCATGATCTTGTCTTATTCCCTTGGGTTTTTTTTTTTTTTTTCAAATTGAATTGGATAGCTACTTGCTAGTGTGGAGCTGATGGCGCTTGGGCGCTTGATTTATCGCGGGGTGAAGAGGTCTGCTGGCTTGTGCTTTGTTGGAGCATTGTTGGAAACACATGTAAGAGAGTTTGTGACTTTTCCGCTGTTTTGCTGAGGCTGTGTAAGTGGCGCCCTATAGTCTAGAACAAGAAGTTTGGAATGAATTTGGTGCGTGCCTTAAGCAAGGTTGATTAAACAAAGCTATATAACGTTTGGAAACCTTGTGTATATCTAGAACGGGGTATGACTGAAATTCGAAATTACCCCGAGATATAAATATACTCGGCAATTTTTCCGAGCAGAAAAGACAGTGGTTTTGCCATTGGCACCGCTCTAGAAAGGTAACATAGCATAGCCATGAGAAACAGAAAAATGGGATATCACCGTCGCTGAATCGACGCAAAGTGTGTATCGAGACTATGATCCGGAAGAATCATTGAACCCGGCCAGAAACACTAGGGAGAAATAATAAAACAAATTTGCCCTCTTTTATGTTCGATATGAACGTAACAGACGAAGCAATCATTCACTGTGGTGCAAAGAGTAATCAAACGATCGATCAAGTATAGACCTGACATTGTGGGCATTTATAATGGTGACATATCGAGCAACATTCGGGAGCTAGGCTGGGGCTGTTGAGGTGGCGTTCGGGATGGCAGCATCTCCAATAACCCCGCATCGACGGTCGAGCATATTGTCGTGGAAGATACAAGGGTTGACAGCTCATGACAATATAGGTGGCGGATCGTGGGACGACATAATCTAGAGCGCGAGGGAGCGATGCCCAGAACTCGGCATCTGAGATTTTGGATAGCGATCGTGCTTGTCTTGAGTGCTCGAATGAAAGGAGCTGCGACCTCGATTGTCGAACTTGCAGGCTACTACTTCGATCGGATAGCGAGGTGCGAACACTAAGCCGGCGAAGAGCTTGTCTATCATTTTCGGGTCGAGAATTGAGATTGATCGTTTATATATTGAGACGACGACGGCCCGAGAAATGGCCGGACATGGTTATCACTGGAGGTTGAGGAAGGTCTAATAAAAAAAGCAGTTGTTGATGAAGAGGTAAATTGCATGTTGAACTCAGTTCAATATCAAAAAGGTTTGAGGGAATTGTCTGAGTTTGGACAGTGAGAGTGCACACGCAGCTTGGTTGAATATAAAACTCATGTTGAAAGGAAGATATTGCCTATTTATGACACCGCTCATTGAAAACGGGCAGTGAGAAAAGGATAAAGATCAAGACCGTATCTTGAGCGCTGGGTAGTGGTGGATGACGATCAAGCAAAGTCAGCCTACCACTTGATGGAAACGAAGGGGGGAAAAGAAAGAAAGTGAAGCGCGAAAGAAAAGGGGTTCATAGACAAGCTGAAAATTGCACAGGGCAAATGGCAGCCTGAAAATATCTCCATCGCAAATGCGAAAAAGCGTAATGCGTACGTAAAAGTAGTGGAGAGGAAAAGATGAGTCAACGCCGAACCACTTGAACGTCATCTGCTTCGTTATCGAAAGGCAATGGGCTTTGGAAGTCGGAGTGACCGAATTGCTAAAGCTTCCTACAAACAGCATAGAAGATATCCTGGTGAACAGAAGGGGCTTAACTGCGAAACAATCTAGTCGATTATTTGGTCGCTTGTCTCAGGGGTACTCGGGTCCATGAGCCTGCGCCATGGCCAGCAGTTCGCCGGGCTGCAGCCCAACCTCGCGCGAATCAAGAAATGCGAGCTCATAGAACATGCCGACACCTAAGGGCCGCAGTCCACTGGCAATTCGATATACGTGTCAAAGACTAAAGAGCACGTTGTGAATTCAGGCATCCTTCAGAGGCAATGGAGATAGGGAAGCACCAGGGCTCTCTGGAACAGATACTATCATCGCGGCTAAAGAGGCAACCGGTCAGCACCATTGCGCGTTAATAATTTGTGTATAGAAGAACGTAGCCTTGCGAGTAGTAATTAACCATCGGGGAACAGGGTTGATTCGGCGAAAGGGTGCGCTAACGCTAATCGATGCGCATGAATGAACGATCTCTATCGACCTGCCACCTAGGGCCCGTGGCCTTGCCGATGGCTGAGTGATGATGCGAGCGAGGGAGACAGCGGGAGAGAGAGAAAGAGAAAGAGAGAGGTTGTTGCCAGCTGGTGTTGTCAAGGTTGATGCCGGTTATGTAAGCAGCAGTGCCCAGGTTAAGGCCATCAGGATGGATCAGATGGTGACCTTCAGGCTGAAGATGATTGCGGGCATTTCATGGAGTATCCGCAAGGTAGTTATTATTCAATGGCACACGAAGGTCCGAGTGGACCATGGGAATGGCATTGTTCAACCTCAGCAAATTGGGAACCTTTCCGTATGAGTTCCCATGTTTCAACTGATTTGCTCGGCCCGCGAGTTTCCACGCAATCGCAAATCCAAGCTTCGAATCCTCGAGTCGTGCCCTGGTGAGCTTGCCATCAGCGTGTTCATGCGCAATCGCTTAGCTCCCGCAGGCTGTTGGGCCAACCAAGTCCTGAGTCATCGGCTACCGACACTGCCGGTAACTAGGCAAGGCATGAGCATTGACTTCAAGATGCGCGCTTCCTTGTTTTGCTGAGACCAGTTTTCCCAGCCACCCCGGGGAACTTTGAGGTCAGGGCTGCGAATTGTTGGGTCTCCCATGCTGCGGTTGACGCCTTTCAGGGAGAGTTCAAATCCGAACGGCGGAGGGCTTTTGCCTCATTTTCGACCGGCGGTTGGGTCCAAGACGATCAATCAGCCTAAGGGACAGCCCCTTGAAATGAAGCTACCATTCATCTGGTTTCGTTATTGCTCATGACTTGCCTGGTCGACTTGATCACTCACCCGCATCTGTTCGCTGCTCTCGATCCCCAAAATCCCATGCTTCCTGGTCTGGAGCCAAGGACAGGGAACACGACGAGACCAATCAGTGGAGGAGGCACCCGCGATGGCGGTCCACTGGATATGAACGATCCCAAGCAGCACCGTAGTCCATGGAGGAATGGACATCAATCCTCAGAAACCTGATAGGACCCTTCCAGTCATAAACTACTCCATGTCCCGCTGTTGCTTTGATTTAAAATGTCTCTTTCTAGAGTACAGAAACGCAACAGCCAGACTGGTCGTGAGTCTTTCGTCCGATCTTCCAACAGAGTTTCTGCGTGAGCCGCATCGGCACCCACCGCCCCTCATCGCCGCCCAAGCCCGCCATCGTCACCCGTCGAATTTCTAAGCAGGTATCGGTTGTTTTCTGTCATCTCACGTTGCCGGCGCACACACTCTGGTCTGCTTGGATCAATTCTCGCCACAGAACCAACAGATATATTGGTGACTCGGGACTTTGAAGCTGGTTTCTGCCCAAGGCCAAACCACACATCGCCAAACGCCTGGTCACCCCCGCTTTTACAAATTTAACACTTGCATACGGATCAGCCTGGGAATCCTACGAGCAAGGTGATTGATTTCATTGATTAGCATAGGACCTTCGGTGCTAACGTACTACTTTTGCCAGGACAGTCGAGTAAATCTTCCTCTCTAGGAACGTTGCAAAAGGTGTCGAGTCATACTCTTACGCAAGCTGGAAAATATTCCCAATTGCGCCATACGTCTATCTGTTTCAATCCCCGCACATTGAAATGGCGACCCCAAAATACCGCTTGCCGTCGCCGGAAACGAGAACGGTCATTGATCCAAAAGCGTCTACTGGAAATGTTGCTTATTGGATGGAGGCTAAGGTGCAGGAGATTAGGCCGAAAGCTCATCAGGATGGAACGTTCAGCACATCACCTCATGGAGGGCAATACAGCTCAATAAGGCCCGCTGAACGCCACTCACTCGATCCACAATCTTCAAAAACATACCGTTTCCCTGGGCAAAGTATTACGCCGACGAACGCTCGGCCTCGGAGCAGGACAACTCACAGAGGACATCGACCATTGAGTCTCATTGTACCCTCGTCCACGAACCGATCACCTATAATACCAGACTACGAGCGATTCCAGACGTCAAGACACCCGGGCTATTACTTCAATGATGATTCGGACCGATACCTCTCCCCGGCGTCGTCCCGCTCCAGACGACGAACATTTAGCCCTAGCACAAGAGGTGGCCAATTAACCCCAACAAGTAAAGGGAGCTCACCTCGTACTGATCATGCATACCTGGTCCCTGCGGGCCGTTCTCGGAAAGTGTATACAATTGACCCCAAAATGCAAGATATGGACCTCAACGACGCATACTCATACACCAACATGAGAGAGGAGTTTCTCGGGGAATCTGCAAGACGTCAGCACCGTCACGATAACCGTGGCAGAAGACCTCGGCCTGTTAGCTTAACTGGGTTGGAAGATTACCCACCTGAGGCTTGGAAAGACTCCCGATACCATGTGCCCCCATCGGGTTCGAAGGAGCCCGATAAACAACAGAGGGAAACTGATCATAGGGACCATGTCCGGAGCGAGGCACCTCGTGTAACCGAAATTACTCCGCATCATACATCTCGACGAATTCCTGTATCTCTTCACCAGGAAAAAGACAAACGCTATCGGGATGACCACAATAATTCACGAGATGGACGAGGATATCGGATTCATCGGGAAAACAATGATGTCGTTGTGGTTGACGATCCCCCTTACTCAACTTCGTGGGATTCTAGGCATAATACCTCGGCGCCCCGGCCATTGAACGACTCGAAAGGCGGTCGCGACGATCCAGAATCCGCTCCTGTGATGCATGGCGGGCTTGCTACCCATGGTTATTCTAAGGAGCGACGCGATAGGCATTCCGATCGAGATAATCGACCATACCGAGAGCACCGAAAAAGCCGGGAGTCAAGGCGAGTAAGGGATGATACAGGTAGCGAAACTGATCAGTCAGAGTCTGACGCAAGCTTAAGACGGCATCTTCGCCGGAGTTTACGAGTCTCAAATGAAGATTCGCTTGACGAGTGGACTACAGCTCGCCAAAAAACCAGAAAGGATGATTCCGAAAATCTACAGACAAGGTCGCCCAACCCGCCACAAAAGCCTTCTCCAGAAATGAGACAACGGAAAGACTCAGAACCCCCAGCGCCAAAAGGGATTCTCAAGACCCCGACGGCAAAGTTCCCCGAGGACCCCAACGCAATCCGTGAAGGTGTCGCTCCATTAAAGGACGCAACTAGGAAAGGCATTCCTCCAGGGGCGCGGTGGACTAAAATACACCGTGGAATGGTCAACCCTGCTGCCTTGGAGGGCTACGAGCGATTCGAAGTGCGACCCGACTATGTCATAGTTCTGAGAGTTTTAACAAAGGAGGAAATTCAAGCATACGCGAATAGAACCGCGAAGATTCGCTGTAAGTGATCTCATTCATTCCACAAGGACATATGAGAAATAATATCTAATGAAAGCCAAAGCCGGCTACCATCGGAGCCGTAGAGATAGGGATAGGGATAGGGGTGATGACGAAGACGACGACGATGACCGGCGGTATGGGCGCAGCAGGCACAGCACGGACAGCGATGATGAGGATGAGGAGAGTGATCACAAGTCGCCTCGGTCACCCGAAGCCGCTCGTGGCTCGCGATCACGCTCATCCGATTCGCGTTCATAAGGTGGTAAAAGCCGTTTTTATGACGAAATTATCTGATAAAGCGATTACGTCCAGCGCCATTGCTAGCCACATATATTCTATCAATGCCTTTTAAGATATTTCATTCAATTTACCTAATTCTTCTACGACCTAACCATAACTGTTGAATATTTCCAAAACGACTAATAGTGGCTTTCTTTGCTCGCAATTTTCCAGGAATAAAGGCAAAAAGGGGTTTTCCGCACTTGTGCAGGATAATAATAATATGAATGAATGTTTGAATGGGGGAGTAATCAGACAATATTCCAGTGCTGAATGTGTCGTCGATTCCACCTCTCGTAGTCGACCTTCAAAATCTTCCATATGCTTCCTTCCGCCGTGTGCGCCAACAGGCTTGGATGCACTTCCGCCCCACTCCGCTCCGCCCTTTCCGACAGCGGAGATGGTCGGGTTACATACGTGGAAATATTATTGTGGGACTGTTTTTTCACAGAAAAAAGAAAAAAATCAATCGCAAAAGCGCTGCGTTCTCAATACTAGGAGGATCACTTGGTTCATGAATTCGGGATACAAGGTACTATAACAGATATACGCTTCACCAAAGCCTTATGGCTAGAAATTTCATAATGTATCCATGCTAGTCTGTACATTCAACGCCCACTATCCGTTGGCCTGGCCATTAATTAACAGTAGGGCATGCAGACACGCCCAATAGGGAAAGGGGCCCAAGCATGAGGAAATTTTTGCTGCGATTGTGAGGGGAGAGCAATGTGACTCTTCCTGCTAAAATACGCGCAAAGGGGCCAAGTATTGCGGGAGTAACAGCTCAAGCAGATGACCTGCCCCTGACTTCTTAAGGAAACCAACGATTTCAAACCGATTGCTTTGGGAATTTTTACTTCTCAGACAACCTTCTCCAAAGATTGGAGCATACTTTGATCATCTTGAAACCTCGCGCGTCACCTTGATTGGATGTGGACCAAGTCATGGGGGCTAGAAGAGGGGAAGGTTAGAGAAAAGCTGTGCGAAACATGATCGCCAACCGGTGTAGCAATCAACCTGTAGAGTGCAAAGTGATCCGAAGGGGCAAGAAGGAAATGATTTAGTCATAAAACTTTGAGCCTACACCTGCTGAGGCCATCGAAATACACATCTGGCTCTCAAGCAAATCGAACGTCGTCGCGGCTGCAGCCAAACTGAATATGGTTCTTGAGAAGCGTGACAGCAACCCTCAATGACGTACGGTCCACTGCAACCGAGGACTTTATCAGGCTGATCCGTGCACGAATCCGAGCTACTGCTTCCTTCGATATCCACATCTGAAAGGATCCATGAGTGAAGTGTTTCTTGCGCAGATCAGTAATTGGACACTTGTGCTGAAGCATGTTCGAACAGATGTAGGTGTGCCTTTGCATGCACCATGTATGTGCGCAAAATCAAGCGGTGATGAAGTTGGCTGCTCTTATTGGGCAAGAAGCAAAGAGAAGCTCCTGGGCCGGCGAAGTTACATACATAGCTAGTGGCGCAAAGCGATAAATGCGCGCCTGAACCTCGGTCGATAACCGTGAGATTCGAATATTCCATTGGTGCTTGTGAAATAAACGGGAGGGAATCGGCGAAGTCGTCGTTTGATGGAAATCCTGCGCCAGAGCATCACATGCATCTCATTCCGGGAGTTCCACGGGGTGTCTTAGACCTAGGGATCCTCTACTCCTCGCGAAATACGGTGAGTTGCATCTTCTTCCAAGTGGCTCAACCGCCGTGAAACGACTGGAGAGTAGAATCGCAGTCAGAAATCAGTGTATTGGAGCTGGAAGAAGCGGAGATTTTGCCTTCTGGTACCTTCTGGCTTGCCGCAGAGTCACGTGCGCAACGCTATCCCGATACGGAAGGTCAAGATGGTAAATCGCGCATCTAATGACATAAGCGGGATAGTCCGGCGTGGCATTAACTAACGGGGAAGTTTAATCGATGAGGAGAGCATGTTGGACGATGATCAGGCAAAAAAGAAAACAAGAACAGTGCGCGAATCTGCGCACAAAAGGTTCCGCTAGAAGCAAAATCGAAGCATTTTGCAGACAGACTAGAACGTCGCTTGCTTGCTTTTTGGCATTCTTCCTTGTCCCCTGCCTGGCTTTGAGGTCACACCCGGACTTTCGCTGGAAAGAAAGCAACAACATGATTTGACAGGAGGGAAAAGAGGCAGAGCTTGGTAAGGCGGAGCGAGGAGCGTGTGCAGGTGCAGGTGTCTCCCTCGAGGTTGCACGACAAGTTTTCCTTGAGCGAGCAAGGAATCAGCGGGAAGCGTGGGGTTGGGAGGCTGGTGATGGACCCAATCAAAGTGCCGACTTGAGTTCTATGCTGACCATGTTCAAGGTGGCAGCTATGGGCGGTTCATGCAGGGCCGTTGGCGTGCGATGGCGCTTTTTCAGAGAGTGTGTGTGGTTCCCTCGGAGCATGGAGTTCAGTAATTCACGGCGGGGACCAAGACTCTCTCCTCTTCGTTTATCCCACATCTCCGTTCCTCGAACTAAGGATCCTCACGGCGATTACAACGATTGCTTGCGGGCCACATGCGATGAAGGATGGCCGGGGCATGTGAACTGGGGCTTTTTACAGTTGGGAAAGGAAAAAGGCGTTCTAGAACACCTGCATTAGTCGATTCACATCAACTCTCTCACTGTCGAGAAGTGTGGAAGACTGATCAGGAACAGCGAGAGACGGGATATCCCGCATGAAACGAGTGTTTTTCCCGCCGCCCTTTTAGAATTGACCGGCCTATTCCTCTTTTCGTCGCGTCCCATTAGTAAACATGAAAAAAACAGGAGGAATTTGCCGTTCACCTCCGCAAGCTGTCCGAAATTTGAAATTGAATCGAAGTGATAAGCAAGATAAGACGCCATGATGGGTGTGGAAGCTCAAAATGTGGCCCCCAAGTCACAATCAGTCAGGAACCGCGCAAGGGTATTCACGGGCCCCAGGCAACTTGCCAGGACCAGGTACTTTAGCAATGCCTGTACAAGGCGACGAATGCAGAACGGCCGTCCCACACACTTCACGTCTGGAGAGATCATCCACAATCGGACACGACTCCAAAGAGGCAAGCTCTTGCCAAGGGCCATTAGTCCCGGTAGTGAAATCTTCCGACGACTGCTTCGACGGTTGCCAAGCCGCTCGAAGGGGGGCAGGGAAACCTCCCCGGCTCATCATCAACCATCGTGGATTCGTGGAGGTGGGATGATCATGTCTTGTACCGGTTGGCACTCCGAAATCTGCGAGTCATCGTCCTGGGTACCCTTGGAAGGCATTCAGAGTTAAGGGTTGGCTAACAGGGATACGACATGGGTCAGGATAGCCTCGACCTCTCACCGATTGAGTAGTCGGAATTAAGTTGCGGGGCTTCTCAGGGAGTGGTGACATTTGTGCCTTCAGTCAAACATCCTTGTTCCCCGTCAATAATTATGTCGTTGTGGCAAGAAGAGTCAGAAGAATCGCTTTGCTCAATCGAAGTCGTATCTTCATTGCAGCATGCAGTGTGGACACTTACGAGGAATCAGCTCAGCCGACTTCTCTCGTTGGATGATCGGGCCAGTGGAGAATTGAGTGCTCTTGATCAATCATAGCGGGGGCTCATAAGCAACAAGCCAAATTGAATGAAGACGTTGGTCGCTTAGAGCTCTCTCTGAGCATCTAACCGCCTAGAACCGAAATCTCAAGAGCTGCAGGCGGCGACTGGTGAATGCGGACATAAAACTAAAGAAAAAAGCAAAACATAAAATAGACTCGGATGAATCGGATCAAATGGGATGACTTTTGGCCAAACCTTCCTCAGACTGTGTGTTTCTGATGGCCTCATCAGCTTGGTCGCCCTCGCGGCCTCGCCAGACTGTGATCCCATCCTCCGACGGAAAACTATGGGATATGATAAGCATTCCTCAGGAATGCTCATTCATTGCCCGCCGTGACTTCTCTCGCCAAAACCGAAGGGACTTCATCATGCTGGCCGGTTAAGCATTTCTTCACTGTTTCGTGAAGTCGGAGCTCCTTTATGCGTGCTCCCCCTGTTGCATGATCTGCGCCAGGTTTCAAAGTGAGTCCATCCTCCGCCAAGTTTCCCCTGTGAGGATGAAGAAGCAGAAAAAAGCTTCTTGAGTTGTTAGGAATTCGTTTCTCAAGTAAATAGCCGACCACTCTTGAAAACCCGCAATTTCAAGAGTGCGTAATCCGAAAAGAGAAACCTGAGAGAAGGCGGACTCCTCTTTTTTCCCCACGAATGCTACGTCAAGACGCAGGAATCAAATAGTTTCTGCGAAAAAGTGCGCGCAAATTGGAGCCGAATAAGGCAGCTGTCGGAAGCACCCAACCCAACATCCGATCTGTGAGTCCCTGAGTAGCCGAAATGTCCCTTCTTTGCGCGTTGGAGGTGAATATCAAGTTTCAAGCAATGAAACTTTGTTGTTTTCCACTATTTTAATTTCTCCACGTCAAACGGGCCAATTATGGCTGTTCCGTTTTGCCCAGCTCAGGATACGAAATCATTTCATCATCATGATTGAGATTTCGAACCCGACTATGTTGGTTTACGGGCTTTTGATTGACTGGCTGCTCGATGCATGCCGACGGGCCAGACATCTTGATTTGAACGCGAAAAGCAGGTCAACACCGCTGCGTTGAAGGCGTGAAGGGCATGATACCTGCACAAACCATGTGGGCCATGTGTTCTCAACAAGGCCAGAGACTGAAATTCATCGCGCTTCTCCATCTGCTCCATCCCTTCAAGTCTGACAATTTCAGCTTCATCCTCCAGTTTGCCCGCCAATAGGAATCTACCCAAGCCGCAGAACTTAAAAGTCATCGCGTTTTGGCCGCAAAACAAGACGGAAAAAGTGAACTTTTTTTTTTGGCGCGTCACCGTATCCAACGATAACAGACTGATAAAAATTGGTACCCGTTGAGCGCGAATCAAATCTCGGTTCTCTGAGCCCTGAGGTTTCATTCAACTGCAGGAATCAATGGGCTTCAACTTTGAAAAGAAAGAGTGCGTGTGTCACCTTGACACCTCCTCATTTTAGAATCGCCAGCGTCATCATCATGATCGGTGAATGGAGAGCTCATGATCAGAGGGGAAAGACGTGCTCTTAGAGCAGGATATTGCCGGGAAGTTTCAGTAATCAGAAAATCGTTAATGCAATTTGGAACGATTACTATTCCTCCAAGATTCAGCCGCCCTCCCTTTTCTGTATATTTCCCAATCAGTCTTCAGCTCTCTCCGTTCTCGTCTGCGAGAAAGGGCGCAGCAGACCTCGTTGGATGAAGAGCCCCCTTTAGAAAAGAAGAAAAAAAAAAAAAAAGAGCGCATTTTTGAGAAATCTTGCCATCATGTCATCACCGCAAACTCAAAATCAGCGCATGAAAAGGATGGAGCCCTTTTTGGGGGCATTTCGCGCCACGTTCTTCGACACGTAGGAACAACTTGAGTTGAAGCTAGACGGGAAGAGAAGCATCGCGTCAGCCCGTGGGGCCCAGAGCTGGGATTGGGCGGTGGGAGAAGAGAGCACCGTCTACTTTTTTTTCTGATAATTGGGCTTTTTTGAAGGCTCGAAGAAATCGGTCTTGCTTGGCGCATTGACACTTCCCGCATCTGGCATAGCTGGGACGGCGGTGGCTTGGAGTTGAAGATGGCCTTTTATTTTTTATTTTTGACTGTAGTTAGAGAAGAGTCGGCTCAAAGACGAGAGAGAGTGAGAAAGCTGCACAAAAAATGGTTGCATGTGCGTTACTATTCGAATCCTTTTTGCTTTCCGGCCCGTTCATCGTGGGAAGCTATCCGGATAGAGTATGTCGAGAAACATCCTGCATCAGATTTAGGAACCCACTTCCACGAGAAGGGACAGGAGCAAATCCACCGCAAAATGGAAAAGCGCAAGAGGATCGAGGCATTTGGCCAGAAGGATCCTTTTTGGTCTCAAATGCAAAATCCTGAAAACAAAGGCGCTTATGCTCAAACATCCTTTTGTACACGCTCCTGGGTAACTTTGTAATAAGAATAATAATCAGACGCGCAGCACAAGAGCGAGTTTGCCGTTGGGTGAGGGGAAGTGATAATACGATCGTCATATTATTTTTCCTCCTTGAACAGGCTTGCGCACCATTCATTTTCTTTGCAGCCAAATCGCCAAAGTACTGAAACAGCTGTTCTGGGACCTCTTTCAGTCTGACGGCTTTTGGCGAATCTGCTAATATCGGAGAGGAGGAAAAGAAACAGTTGCCTCGCTTCGTTCGCCAATACGCGCAGCGAGCAGAGTCCCGTGAGAAGCTGAGAGCATTTCTAGGACGGTTACACCGAAGGTCGCTAGGCCCAAGAAGTCGGTGGCTTGCCTGGCGAGTTCTTTTTTTCTTTTTTTCGTGAGTTGCCTGGAATGGAGAAGATGGGCATGGGTTAGAGTGTTTCGGGTTAATGATGGCTGATGCTGGGCGCGGATCGCATCGCTTTAGCCAGCGCGCTACGACCTTGGCGGACTCTTGCTCGTTTTTTGCTTCGTTCTGCTGCGGTGCGTGTCGCGCGGTGCGTGGCTGGAGAAAGCAGCGGCCGAACAGTATCCTCCAAGCGCATTGGGGATATGATGGGAAATTGATACCAGTACCCCGTAGTTAGCAGGTATCTAACGTGGGATGTCTTCGTCGGTGAACTGTGAGGCTAAAGTCAAGCTCGTCTAGCAACTAAATCTCATCTCCACTGGCAACTCCTCACGAACTAAAAAAGCTGAAGCAAGCCTGGGTGATCGCCTCATGGATTGTTCGGTTCAGATCGATCGGAGAAGCGCATGGGTCAACTCATCGGGGCCAACGAGGGACTTGCAGGCCTGGAATGCGATGCTTGAACTTTTTTTTTCCGTTTGAGCAGATCGTGGAAGCTCGCAGGAGGACGAGCGCTTCCCTCTTCCACGTTGTCGGCCCTCCTTTCTTTGCTTTTTCTTCGTTTGTTTTCATATGGAGGACAGGGAGAGCTTGCGGGTAGACTGGCGCTTGAGATGCCGAAGAGAGAACACGACATACGATGTCCGAAGCATAATTATTAACAGGAACAGGTACGCTCCAAGGATTAGCCGCAGTGTCGAGGGTTATCCCTTGCCCATAGCACGATTCAAAAGCATGTATTCTTATTCTGACTCGCACTGCTCGTCCAACCGTCGAAGCTGTTTGACTGTTTGTTGCATTGATGTATGTATACCAAGTTACGTGCAAACAAGTGGTTCGACCCGTCTCCCCCCCTCCAGATCCAACCCTGCCGTTTCGACTCGTCCGTCCTTTGGTCGAGGAACTGGCGATGGATGGAGGTTCGACATTATTGAAGTTATTGAAGAACGGATGGGACGAGCTAGCGTGCTGTGACCTGCATGGCATCTCGTCCAACAACGACAGGGAAGCGGACCTCTTCTCTGGGTCGAGAATCCCGGGCGTGAGATTGGGATGGACTGCGTTGTTTTTCCTCCTCTGTTTTGGCTGTAACCTGTCAGTTGATTTGGCGGACGGGGCTGGAACTCTTGTCGGTGCCTGAACGAGGGAGGTGATATTCCAGCGGGCATGCAAGCCATGGTTCGAGAGGATCAGGGATCCAGGCTCCCAGTTCAAGCTCTTATCAGAAAACAACTGGAAAAAACATTTGTCATTCAGGATCAATTTCATGAGGATTCCACAAAAACGGGTGCTGCAGGACTCCAGCTCCATGTGCCACGTCCGCCCCGATCCCATCTGCTGCGCTAATGCCACAGCCGAGCGGTGATTACAGCGCAATAATACCATTGTAACATGTTCCTGTGTTTGTCCGATATTATTGCTCTTTTCTATTATTGCGCTGGCCGATGCTGAGGATGGAGAGCCCACTGCGACTAAATAAACCACCCTGGCCCCCGACATCCAGTTCTTCTTTGCTTTTCTCAATGTCGGTCTCTCACCAGTCCGTTCTGCCCCCTCGAGCTCCATCCCTGCTGGTTCTTCATGCTTCATCCTTAGTTGCGTCTCTTTAAGCCCCCCCCTCACCCCCTTCGCACACCGCGCCCTCATTTATTGGACCGTTCGCCTCTAGCAGGAATTCTGATTCCCAGGCTGATCCTCGTCTACCCGCTCGACCCTCAACCCAGGATCTGCGGCACCCGTTCGACTTGACAGAAGAAAAACAAAAAAAGCTTCCGTCCATGCTCCCCTCGAGGTTGACTCCAGTTCGATCGCGGTCCTAGAAAGAACGGAAAGGGGAAGAATAATACCAGCCTGATTTTTCTTGTCGCTCGTTTTCTCGTTTGATTGTTGTCCTGTCCCTCCTGTCCGTCGCTGCGATCATTTGTCTTCTCCCGCCATGACAGCCTTGGTGCAAGCCAGCGTGGGCCCACCGGCTCCAAAGTACCAAAAGGACGATCCGCCAACACTCGATGACCCGGTGAGTATCGTGTTTCTCCTCTGGCTCTGTGTTTCTGTTGCCCGCGATGCATCTCAGAAGATTCGAAAAAGCAAAGACACCCGCATTTCCTGTTCTTTTTCCCCACGAAACAAACCGGAGCGAATCATCCAGCCATTGTGGTTGTTTCGTTCGAATCTGAAACTGCTGCAATTCTGAATTGTCGCCGTCGCGGCTTCACCGATCTTTCGCTTATTCACACCCGGCAATTCGCCCGCAACGCTCTGCTCGTCCTGTTTGTTTTTTTGTTGTCGTGTCTTGCGCTCCCCGTCTTGCACACTCCCATCCTTGCTGCGGATCATGGTTCTCTCCCCAAGTCACACGTGGGAAGCACCAGTGCCAGAAAAACAAACGGGCACCACCGCGACAAGCCCCAGCCCTCTTTGCGCTCTGTCGCCGTCCAGCTGCGAGTCACGCCGTTGATCCCGCACGTTGTGGTGTTCTGGTGCTCGATCAAGCAGCCGAGAGAGACAAGCTCCACTGATCCCCTCCCCAAGCCCCCCCCGAAACCCACACCGCCAGCGCCGTCGATTGGGCGGTGCGCCGTGGAGCCCCCAGGCTGCTGTCGTTAAGCCCAAGGCCGCTGTTGGCAACCCGACTGGCCGACAGGGATCGATCGGCCTGATGTTACATCCTTGTCTAGTCTCGCGTCCAGCATTGCAACCAAGCCTGGGACTGCTGCTCCCTCCCTGGCAATCCTCGTCGTCGCGCTCGTCTCCCCGCCTGAATCAACTCCCAAACAGCCCTAATCCCCTTCTAGATCTTCTGCTGGTCTTCGTTGATCCTTCTACTTAAACCTTGAACCGGCTTCTTGTTTCTGCTTACATACGACTGCATTCTTTTTCTTCCCTCTTCCCCTTTGTCAATATTCCTTCGAACCGTCAATTTGCGCAAAGGGCGACGGGGCCACAGCAGATCATTCCATCCTGTCTCCGCTCCCGCTCGCTGAACCATCGTTACCCTTGTTTCCCCATGATTGACACCTCCCGAGGCCTCAATTCCCACGCTGGTTTTGTTTTGCCTCCACTCGCGTCTTGATCAGAAGACCCCAAGCATTGCTCTCTCCTCCTCGCCTGCGCTGTCTGGAATCCTGTATGGTTTCATTTTCTTTTACTGCTAATTTCCCGCCCCAGGACTTGCCACCGTTTTGTGCGGGAAACTGTGATTCTGCTGATTTGCTGTCGCGGCGCTGGTTGAGGGGGGCATTATCAGTCTTCTGATTATTTATCCCTCTGACCCCCCGGGATCCCCCCCCTGCCCGCACTGCCAGGCGTTTCCCGGGTCTCCCCATTTATACCTTGTTCCTCCGCCCTCTTTTCCCGCCGTTTCACTCCCCGTGGCTTTTCTTTTGATTCCTCGGACTTGAATCCATTTCTCGCTAACATCCGAATCCTTCTTCCAACAGCGACAGAACCCGCCCTCGCAGCACAGCCATCATCACTCCCAGAGTCTTCAGGGTCGCTCGTCCGACATTGCGCAGTCAAAGCACCTCGCCGGCTCGTCACCCCATCAGTCGCATTCCGGCTTGCCGTATGGTCAGCAGCACGTTCTAGGAAACGGCCTACCTGTGCAGCGCCAGTCCCAGTACGCGCCCACTCCGCAAGAACCGACGTACTACACTTCGCACCCAGGGGCGTATGCCGTAACAAGCACTCCTCATTATCCATCAACCGGTATGGGCTATACCTTTTTTTTTTTTCCCTTTCCGTCCTGGCTGTGCGCTTCGTGGGAAAAAAGGGGTTTTCAAAAGCGTTCGGAGGTCGCTTCTCTCTACGGGTGACTTGTTTTCGCGTGATGTGATGGATCGGAATTTCTTTTTTGTCGCGTTGACTTCATACGTTTGGAATCGGAAACTGACCACGGCTCAGAAGCACCCGATCTTATGGCCGCAACCGCCCAAATGCAGCGCCCCTACCCCCCAATCTACCACACGCCGCAGTCCAACTCGCCGGCGTCGGTGGCCTCCCCGCCAACCCACGATCAGCATGGCCGGGGTCTCTACGGGCAACCCCAGATTCCGCAGGGAATGTACAGCTATCCCCAGTACCCCCCCATGAACCCCATCCACTCCGCTCCCTACGCGACACATTCAGCCGCTCCGCAACACACGCAACTCACACCTCAACCTCTCCTTGTAAGTCCACAGACCAGTGCTCCGCAGTTGCAGCCACAGCACATGCATCAGCCACCTCCACACAACACGATGGCGGCAAGCCCCCATCTAAAGATGGATCCCAGCGTGTCGCAGCAGACCACGACGCAAAGAACACCTCTGAACTCGTCGCATGCCGCGCCCTCCAACTCATCCGCTCCCAACAGCCACGCGGGCAGTTCTGGCTCAAACACCAGCGCTGCTCCCGGCCCAATCCCCGCCACCACTCCACTTGTCGTACGGCAAGACAACAATGGCGTGCAGTGGATTGCGTTTGAGTATTCGCGAGATCGCGTCAAGATGGAATACACGATCCGATGTGACGTGGAGAACATCAACATCGAGAATCTAAGCCAGGAATTCAAGACTGAGAACTGCGTGTATCCCCGCGCGTGCTGCACCAAGGATCAGTACCGAGGGAACCGCCTGGTGTATGAAACCGAGTGCAACGCCGTGGGATGGGCGCTGGCGGAGCTGAACCCTTGTCTGCGCGGCAAGCGGGGGCTAATCCAGCGCGCGGTGGACAGTTGGCGAAACAGTAATCAAGACCCGCGGCTACGGAGTCGACGGGTGCGGAGGATGGCCAAGTTGAATAACAGAAAGGCGGTGTCGGCCCAACACGCCTCTCACCTGGCGGGCCCTGGTGCGTCTCCGCAGGGGCTGCCTGGTAGTGCTAGTATGGGTGCGCCAACTGCGCTTTCGATGGGGGGACCTCAACTTCATCACCATCATGCACACCCTGATGGTGGGCCGGGGCCGGAAGATGTCAGCGGTATGTTCCACCGGATGTGATTATATATATTCCTTGTCCATTTTCTTCTTTCTTTTTCTATTTTCACCTTTTTTCTTTTCTTGTACAGGTTGCGTATGGCGCAAAGTCCCTTGGAATCTTTTTTTACTTTTCTTTTCCCTCCTTTCTCTTGTGTGTTTCTACCAAAAGTGATCTTTCCTCTCCCCTGTGGTGGCCTTGGACGATCTGCTTTTTTTTATGAGTTTATGTTTTGAGCCAGCTCTCCCAGTGTAACTGTACAATGAATCGTGCGGTGTATCTATTTCTTTGATCATGCCAGCCGGTTCTCCCAGTTGCTCGTTGCTCTGTTCGCTTCCGCTCTCGCATTGCCCCCCTGATGGCTGCCAAGAAAAGAGACAAACGGGATCTTTTCCCGAAAGGCGTTATCATTTATACCCGTGTTGCTTTGGATTGTGACCTGTTTTGCAGAAGGGGCTTTTTGAAAGAAGCAAAAAGAAAGCGTAGGCTAATACGACGAAAATTTTCGTATTATGCATATTTATAGGCAATCATGATTACACGAACGGTACTCATCGTCCATCCACTTCTACGAGCACCTTCGGCAGCCCAGCAGATCTCCGGCCCAGCCACATGTTCCACGGCTACGCTTCATACCCGGCCCCGCCCTCGTCCACGGCCAACGGACCCTCGATGGTGCCGCCCCTGCGCGACACGGGTCTGGACCAGTACAACAGCAAGCCAGCCACGGGCATCGCGACGTCCACGGCCTCGACGCTGTCGCCGACCCGCAGCCGCCGCCCGGGCGAGAACGAGGATCCCAACCCCGAAAACTCGGCGCTGTTTGGCGATCTCCCGGAGGGACGGCGGCGCAAGTTCATCCTGGTGGAGGATCCGCAGCGCGGGTGTCGGGTGCGGGTGAAGGTGATGCTGGACCAGGTGGACATGAAGGAGATTCCGGATTCGTACCGCAAGTCGAATTCGGTGTTTCCGCGGACGTACTTCCCCGTGCACGGGCCGTTTGGGCATACGGGGCGGGGACGGCGGTTTCTGATGGGGAGGAGGGTGAGGGGGAGGGGGAGGATGGGGCGACGCCTGGG